GCTGCTGAGTTCATCCTGACCGGAGACCCTGAAGGGCTCCCCCTAACAACTAACACCCCCTAACACTAACCCTAACCCTGACCGGAGACCCTAAAGGGCTGCCCCTAACCGCTAACCCCCCCTAACCCTAACCCTAACCCTAACCCTGAAGGTGATAAAGCTGGTGGAAGAAGACAAAGCCCCTCCCAACACAGTTCACCCAGGGTTAAACCGGTCCTGAACCTTGGCTGCTGCTGTCTGAAGACTTTCATGTTCATCCAGGAAAATAAGCTGTGAACGTGTCTGAGGTCCACTTGGACCTGCAGCCTCTGGACAGCCCCAGATTCAGCTCTGCTGTCCAGCCTGGACAGAGCCGTCCATCTGAATGGAAAACAAAGCTTTAGCTGTTGCTTCATGTCAGTTTTAGTACGCTGTGTTTTTCAGACACAAAGACAATGTTGACGTGTGGACGCCTGAGAAAACACACAGCAGAATCACAGGGAAAAAACCTCTTATCAGACGTCCACCATCACGCCCCCGCCTCCCACAGAGCTGTTCATGATTCCTGTCAGAAATACCATTTATACGATACCTTCCTACCAAACAGTCCCATTTTATCTATCTATCTATCCATCCATCCAACCATCCAACTTTGATTTCCAGGGATGTGTTGCTGAAGGGCACTTCAGCTCAGCTCCCTTCCTGGGTTAGGGGTTAGGTTATGGGGTTAGGGTTAAAGTTAGGGTTAGAGCAGTGAAAACTCTGCTCCCTTCCTGGGATAGGGGTTAGGTTAGGGTTTGGGGGGTTAGGGTCAGGTTTGGGGTTAGGGTCAGGGTTAGGGTTAGGGTAGTGAGAACTCTGCTCCCTTCCTGGGTTAGGGGTTAGGGATAGGGTTAGGGTGAGAGCAGTGAGAGCTCTGCTCCCTTCCTGGGTTAGGGTCAGGGTTAGTGTCAGTGTTAGTGTCAGGGCTAGGGTTAGGGTTAGGTTTAGGGCAGTGAGAGCCCTACTCCCTTCCTGGATTAGGGGTTAGGGGGTTAGGGTCAGTGTTAGTGTCAGGGTTAGGGTTAGGGCAGTGAGAGCTCTGCTCCGTTCCTTGGTTAGGGGTTAGGTTAAGGGGTTAGGGTCAAGGTTAGGGCAGTGAGAGCTCTGCTCCCTTCCTGGGTTAGGGATTAGGTTAGGGGGTTGAGGGGTTAGGGGGTTAGGGTTAGGGTTAGGGCAGTGAGAGCTCTTCTCCCTTCCTGGCGTCTGAAGTCAGACAGAATGAAACGGAGGCAGATGAGGTCACTGTTAGCATTCCTGCGGCTAATGTAAACACGCGGCCCTGAACGCAGCATGAGGGCCTCCAGCTGCCACTGAAACTCTCAGAGCCTCTGAGCAAGGCAGCGTTTGATCAGCAGCATTAGCCATTAGCACCAACCTCTGGAGGCACATCTGTGCTGAAGCTCCGCCCCCTGCTCTGTAGCATCAAAATACAACAGGACAGCTTTTAAACCTGAGACTCATTCAGTGGTCACTGGTCAGAGCATCAGGTCCATTCAGGCAGTATGTAATATTCAGAGGATGGACGGAAGCCTCTGATAGCCCCCCCATACTCCCCCCCCCCCCCCCCCCCCCCCCCC